TTCTTTCCTTCTTTCCTTCTTTCCTTCTTTCCTTCTTTCCTTCTTTCTCCCCTGTGACATTTAACTTTGTTCATATTTGAGACTTGAATAGTTGATAAGGTATGTACAGTGGCTAATGTGTAATGTTCAGTAAATTCTCATTTTAAAAGCATGAGAAACAGGAACAGGCATGGAGCACGTGGCCTCTCCAGCCTGCTTCTCCATTGACTCGGGCCTGAGCTGATCTTCTGCCTCAAATCCCACATTGCAGCCTATGCCCATGTTTTTCAGGCCCTTTTGGTGCCCACAGAAATCCATTCTTCTCGGTCGTAAATGTACTCCCCAACTGAGCCCCCTGTAGCCTTCCGGGATGAGGAGTTCCAAACATTTCATAATGCTGAGGGAGTGAAGAAATTTTGTCTTCCATCTCTGTCCTAAATGGCTGACTATTTGATAAGTTCATATTGGAATGCTGTTGGAAAACTCCTGCTGAGAATGATCACCGATCTCCTAGTTGGTGGTTGCTGGATTCTCAATCCATTTTGCCTTGTGAATGTCACCCCAATATTCCAGGGAAGCAAGCAGTTTGCTTTAGGCCCTTTCCTGTTCCAGGATTTCATTTACTGTTGGGGTTGAAACAACTGCTACGAATTCGTTGGTTATCCCAAATGGGGCTTATTTATCGCCTTTCTGTAAAAAAGCTGAAATTTAATCCTGGCTGAATATTTACAGTTCTTGGAGCTAAAGAGCCCAAATGTTATGGGGAGAAAGTGGGAACAAAGCACTGAGTAGGATGATCAGCCATGGTCATGTTGAATGGCAGACCAGACTCAAAGGGCCAGATGACCTAGTCCTCCTCCAAGTTTCTATGTTTGTGTCCCTTGACAAACTTTGGCTGCAGATCATATTGCTTTAACCAGTTTTTTTGAATGATCAACCTTCTGAACAATTTCATTGTCATTCAGGCTGGTATGACTGCACCAGGCACCCGACGACCCATTTACGACAAGAAGCTGGGCACAGAACAGTGCGACAACAGTACGGCATCACTGCAAATGGGCAGCAATCAAGGAGCCAACCAAAGCGGCACCAACTTTGGTCTAGGCCGCCAGATTTACAATCCCAAGTATTGCCCAAATGCTGGGCCTGGACTGAATGGAAGCAATTCTGATTACAGTGGAGAGCCATTTCCAGAAAGTCCTGCTGGTTATCCTGCACAATACGACTGAATCTCTTGTGCTACAGCATTTCCAGGAAGGAGAAAGCAACTCATTGTCCAGCTTCTACATGTGGCCAACTTGCAAGTGGTTAAAATTCCCCTTGTCTCTCTCAAACTATTCTTACACATCTCTCAATTTCTGTTTTTTTTTACTTTAATGAATATGATCCAAAATTGATGGTTTTTACTTCTTGACTTAATAAAAACCGAAAGAACTGCGGATGCTGTAAATCAGAAATAAACACAGTAAACACAGTAAATGCTGGAAAAGCTTAGCAGGTCTGGCAGCATCTGTAGAGAGAAATCAGAGATAATGTTTCGGTCAGCATTGAGTTCTGAGGAAAGGTCACTCGACCCAAAACGTTAACTGATTTTTCTCCAAAGGTGCTGCCAGACCTGCTGAGCTTTTTTGACAATTTCTATTTTTGTTACTTTTTGACTTTGTTTCTTTTTAATCCTGTAGGGTCATTGAGCAAAAGAGAATTTTTTTTTTTTTTTTTTTTTTTTTTTTTTGTTTTAAGGTCCATTTTATTTTTCTTGTCCAAGAAATTTTAAAGGAAGCTTTTCAGAGAAGTAAGATTCCACACTTGATGGGGTGTGGAGGCTATGTGCGGGAGGTGTAGAGGGCTGGGTGAATCTAATCTCTGCTCCATTAATGAGGTGACTGAAGAATTAACATTTAGGAATGATGCTGCTGGAACAGTATTTGGAGATTGTTCCTTCAAACCACTTTTTAGTATCTGTCACTTCTCGCCATTATGGTTCTCGCTGATAGTTTAACAGTACATATCTTTATGTATTTTTTTAAACATTATATATCCTTTTTATTTCCTGAAGAAGGTGGGAATGATCCAGAATTTCAACGTCGTCAAAGACTAATCGTTCATGAGAGCAGGCTTGTGGGAAAATGCAGCCACCTGTTTTCAATTTTTCCACTCTGCCAAATCCAATAACATTCCAAAGCCATTGCGTTTACACTTTTTTTATTCTGTTGCTTTTTAAAACAAACTGGATTTTCTTTTAAATCTGCCTAACATTCCAAAGGATTAGGAGTGTGGTGATTGTATATAAAGTAAACCCTCAGAATGAAGTCTTGCACAATACTTGCACCCATGAGCTATAAAGCTTTTGGTTTTCAATACAGGGCAAGATGGATTCTTAAAACGTTTTTGTTTTATTTTCCCCCAGAGTCTGTTCTCATGATTTTGATAAATTTCTTTAGAAACTTTGATTCTAGTTATTGTTGAGCCTGTTGAGAAGTCAGTACTTTGTCATGAGTTATTTGCTTATTTTGCAGTGCAGTTCAGTTTAACTTGCTGCAATCCTGTATTCAAAAACTTCAGGCTGTTGCTACTATAAGCGAGAGCAAAACTGCTCCAAATACCCTCATTGGAAGCATAGTTTCAAAACTGAACCAGGTGTCTTACAGTTCAAACTACAGTATGAAATTGTCACCCACCCATCATTACTCCTGACTGAAATCCTGGTCGCAAGAGTAGTAAGAGTTTGTAGAAGGAATGTCAGGGTAGCAGCATTTCCATACACCATTAGGATAATGAGCAAGTGCAGTTTGGTTTCATTTGCAAAGTAAAGGCTTCAACTCGAGGAAATGTTTGATTCTCTTTACTCCAATTCCCATGTAACCTGCTGAATGGATGATTAAGCTGCTACTACAATAGAAAATATTGTGCCTTCAAACTTTACTATCTCTGTCTCCCCTGTGGACCACTTGTCAGTAATGACATGTTCCCTGTATTGTATATGCAGATTATTTGTAACTTTCTTAGTAATTAAATGTTTTTGTAATTTTCCAAGTGTCATTTTATTTGACATTATTCATCTCTCATTGCAACTTGTGTGGTATTACTGATGGGTGGTCAGGAATCTGCAGTGAAGTTTCAAGTAATTAGCTGTTAACTTGGCCTGTCCATTTCGAGACCAACTGTTCCAAGTAGGTATTTCATTCATGAGATATGGGCAGTGTTTATTGCCCATCCCTAATTGTAAAGAGGGCAGTTAAGAGTCAACCACTGTTGTGGGCCTGAAGTCACTCTTAATCCAGATTAGCCAAGGGAGTTGGATTTCCTTCCATAAAGGAGATATCTGAACAATTGTGTTCAGCAAATCTAAAGTCAATACAATTAGAGCAGTTGTAATTGCTTGTACACATCAAGCTCACAGTGAAATTTGATTTTTTTTCTTCTATCTGTAATGAAGTGTGCTGATAGATGTGGAAGACTGTGTCTGGTGATGTTCATTACACTTTATTGCAGATGCAAACTTTTTAATCAGTCCTAGAGCTTAACGCCAACATTCCAAAACCTAATTTACAAAGTATCCTCAGCAAAAAAAAATCAAAACTGTGTGCTATTTACTTGGTGATGATTAAACTTTGACCTTAACTGCATGATATTACATTGATGGAAACATGATCCAAATTCTGTATAGCTCGTAACTAACTGTTGCATCTGTCACATGGTTATAGTATTGTCCAATGTGCAATGATTAATTCCTTGCCCCATGTAGGAAATAGATAGGGAGCCACAGTGGACAACACCCTCCTGCAGTCTGTCAGTCACCTTGAATCCTGATATCACACGGAAAACTAATTATGTTTGTCCCTGGTCAAACACTGATGTGGAAGTCTGTTCTGGAATTCCATAATTGAACACTGCACATCCAGCGCACGTTCAAGATTGAAACTGGGCCCTTTTTCTCCCTGTATTTTTAAAGATTTGCTCTTGGGATGCTGACAGGGTCACACTTATCACACCTGTACTTGTCCCTTTGATGTTGCTTGTGGACTCTGTTAGTTCTGGATTTGTTCCTGTGATGGTCTTGAGTAAGAAAATCCCTGATATTGACTCCAATGATAATGAAGAAATGGTGGTCTATCTTCATCATGATGGTGCGTCTTACTGGTGAGTTCAGAGACTATGCTCTTTATTCCTGTGGCTCTTATCCTCAATGGCTTTAATCCTGGAGACTGTTGAATTTCATTTTAGTGCCCTGCATTCTGAGTAGTCCAACCTGCAGGCTGTGTTCCCCAACATTAGGCACTCGGTCCAACGTGTTAGATGTGATGAGCAGACGGAGAGAATGTATTAATGGGGTCAGCATCCTTCAAACTGGATAAATCTTCAGGGAAAGATGAAACAGCAGGCTGTTAAAAGAAGCCAAAGAGGAAATAGTGGAAGATCTGAAGACCATTTTCTAATCCTCACTGTATGCAGATATGGTGAGAGATGATCAGAGGTGTGCAAATTGTTGGAGATATTTCTTAGCAACCTGTTTGGGTGTGTTATGATGCATCTCTGAAGCAGTTGGGATTTGAACCTGGGACTTCCTACCCAGAGGTAGCTACCACTATGCCACACCTGCCTTTATGTTAATGTTGTACTTTATTTAAAAGAGAGAGTGTGAGGGATTGACTGAATATTTACAGGCCAGTCAGTCTAATTAGAACTGTGGGCAATATGCAGGAATTGGTTCTGAGACAGAAATTTTCATATAGGAAAGCACAGGTAATCAACATGGATTTGTTAAGGAAAGGTCATGTCTGATAAACTTCAACTTAAACTTGAACTTTGAGGTCACTAAGAACATTTAAAGGTAGTGAGGTTGATGTAGTCTACATGGCTTTTAACGGGGCTGTTCACCAAGGTGATGCATGGCAGACTGTTTGCCTCTTACTTTTTTTTTTAAAATAAAAATCAATTTATTAGATGTAGGGGAATGTAACAGTTGGATACAAAACTGGTTAAGTAGCAGGAAACAAGGGTAACAGTGAGGTTTTTGAGGCTGGAAAGTTGATTACAGTGATGTTCTGCAGTGTTACATGAGATTCTCCTGCAATCCATAGCTATCAAGGGACTGGGCAGGTGTGCAGGAGAGTAGCAAGCAGGAGAGTAGCAAATGCTATTTCAACAAAAGGAAATGTGAGGTGATGCATTTAAAGGAGGACAACAAAATTAAGAATACGCTATTGATGGGAGAGTCCTGAGTGCTATAGAGGAAGTGAGGGATACAAATGGAACTTCACATATTCATGATGGTAACAGGCCAATTAATGAACTAGTTAAGAAGCCAAAGAAACCCAATTCTTTTATTCATTGAGGTATAAAACGCAAAAACATGGAGGCTATGCTTGAATTCTGTGTCTCACAGGAGGTAACTGTCCTAGATAGGGTGCAGAGGAGACAAGAGGATTTTAACAGGACTGGGACAATGCAGCTATGAGAAGTTTGGGTTGGAGGAGTTCTGCTTAAAACAGAGGATGTTGAGAAATTTGACTGGTCAGGATAGAGTGCATTGAAACAATCTGTATACCTTAGTAGAGAGGTCAGTGACTAGAGGACATTGATTTAAAGTGATTTGGTAGAAGTATTAAAATAGTGACTGGGATTGGTGTACTAATCCCGCAGAGGAGGAAGCTCTGTCTGAGGCATGAGAGCCTGAGGTATTTTTTTATTTTAAAAAAAAAAAAAAAAAAAATTCATAAGGCCTTCCATGAGTCAATTATCCTGCAGCATAAAGAGAGAAGGCCCAGAGCCTACTATGCTGACCTCTCCCTTGACATCCCTATCAAAATGAGAACGCTATTACTGTCCAGGGTATAAACTCTTACCAGTTTCTAACTGAGATGAAAAGGAATTTCTTCTGAGGGCTGAGTCTTTGGAACTCCTTGCCACAGAGAGCTATGGGGGTAGCGTCCTTGTTTGTATTTAAGGCTGAGATAGGTGGAAAAATTCTTGATTAGTTGGGGAATTGAGGGTTATGAGGAAAAGGCAGAAATGTGGATATGAGGAATGTCAGTTCAGCCATGATCCTATTGAACAGAGAAGCAGGCTCAAGGGGCTGAATGACTTGCTCCTGTTCCTATTTCTTATGGTCTTATGTCAGGATGATCATTTGAAACCTTCCTGGAGTGTTAGTTGTGATGTCTCAACTATAATAGGTTCCCTATTTTCTTAGTCTTTCACTTTTCCCAGCCACTGCCCAAAACAAGACTAAAGACTGCGATTGGTCCCACGGCTGTTTGTTTGGGTAAAGCAGTGAGAACTGGGGTATTCCTGGTTAATTTTATTAAAATGAATCATTTTAGGGATGTGAGTGTCACTGGCTGAGCTAATTGTTTATTGTTAGCCCTTAATTGCCAACGAGAAAATGCGGACCATGAGCTGCCATTCTTGGAGTGTAAGGTGATGTTAGGAAGGGAGTTCCATGATTTTAACCCAGTTCTGTACGATGAGACTTGCTGTGAGGCTTGTGACTCCTCTGAAGAATGGTCCTTGGAGGAGTTTGCAATTATGACCAATTGTAGAACTATCATGTGACAAGAATCTGCCCTCTTGGGGTGGGGATAGCAAGTTCAATCATATTAACAGAAAGCAGATGGGGGAAGGAAAAAAAAAATCCAACTTTGTAACTCTAGCATAGTAACCTTCAGTGGATGGTTATTTCTGGTTAAGAATACAAGGAAACACTAACTTGGCTGGAGAGCTAATGTGTTTTGATAATCTGAAGCCAACACACAGCACAGTAAGTGGATTCTGATATCAAAGGAGTTTGTGTATCAAAATGAAACTTAGTGACCGCCAGCCTGAACTGCAGAAAAACTCCTCACTTGTTGTCTTTCATCTTCACTTGTGTTGTGCTGCATTTAACCAAATAGCAGCAGTAGCAGTAGGCCATTCAGCCCCTCCAGCTTGCTTTGCTAATCAGCTAGATCATAGATGATCAGCCATCTCAATGTAATTTTCCTGCACTATCCCCATAGTCTTTAAGATCTTTCATACTTCAAAGTGCATTAGGTTTATGAAGAGCTCCTTCAACAACTGATTGGCCTTTTTTTTTCTTTTTTAAAAAAAAAAAAGTGCTCTTGTGCACAACTTTCTTTCAGTAACTGTAAATCACACATGTTCTTGGTCATAATGTGCTAGGCACGGTAAAGGCAATGCAGACTACTATAGCAATAGCGTTCTATATTGCTGATACAACAATTCCTATACAACTTGTCTAATAATGAACCTAGTTATGATAGCCTGAACAATGCCAGATTTGGATTAATAAGTGGTAAATCAGATAGCTCTGTACAGAACAGAAATTGAACCTTGGACTTAAGTCATTGTGACTCCAGTAATCTAAATTTTTAGATAAGGCCAATGGGGTCATTTTTCCTTGTTACTTTCATAATTTTATTCCATTGTATATGCAAATATTTTCCTGAATCCCCAATATATCTAACTTCCTTATTTTTAAACATATATCTCTGAATGTAGACCTTTCTCTACAGTAAGCAATTTGGCGAGATTGGCTTTGTCAACTGCAGCCTTGAAAATATTCCAAATTTGAAGCCTCAAACTTTATCTTTCTCAATTTTAAAAAAAAAACATAACTGATCACATGCAGTGACCCCCCTTGGATTTCAACTCCAAATGACTCCAAGTTAACAATATTGTGTTTTCTGTCTCTCTTCAAAGAAGGAATGCAATAAGTAACATTTGTTCACCACAAGCACCATGACCATCTTCAACAAGAGAGTCCAATCTTTGTCCCATGATATTTGATGGCATTGCCATCACTGAATTCTCTCGCTATCAACATCCCGGGAGTTACCATTGACCAGAACTGAACTGGACTAGCCATAAAATGACAGTAGCTACAACAACAGGTCATAGGCTAGGACTCCTGACTTCCCAAAGCCTCTCCATCTATAAGGCATATGTTGAGGTATGATGGAATATTCCCCACTTTCCTGGATGGTTGCTGTTCTAGTGACACCATCCAGGACAAAGCAGCTCATTTGA